GGATATGTAGCAAGGTTTCATTAAATAAGGTTTATTTGGGTCAGTAATGATAGTGAGGTGTTTGCCAAGCAACATTGACAGCTGTGAGTTAATGGAGTATTCTACAACAGCCTTAAAGTACAAGTAAAATCCAAACTAACCATATGATTGTAACTCACATTGCTGGTCTTGTGCTGAACAGTTCATCTGTGCATGTCGTTCAGAACAAAATAACTGTTCTCTTGTGATCTAAAATTAAACTGAGTTAAGTTGTCAGTTTAGGTCTGTCTGAGGTATTACAGCCTAACAGACTCCTCCTGCTCACCATTTCTGCTAGATGTCATTTGACCTCTGGAGGGGCGTGGTTAAGTATGTTAGCCACGCCCCTCCAGCTGTCAGAATGACATCAAACAGAAATGGTGAGCAGGAGGAGTTTGTTAAGCTGCGGTCACACTAGAGTTTGATAATGCAAAATTCTGTCGTGCGGAGCAGCGGAAAGGGGCGGGATTAAACAAGCCTATTAGGCATTTAATAAAGCGAGCGATTGCCCCAGGTTTTAAATTTCTGTCCAGAGAGGTCATGTTTTGATCCTCGATTGGTCTCAAGAATTCAAGTGTTGCGAGGTCTGAGTTCACCGAGCTTTTACTTTGCACCGCAGCAACCTGCGAAACTTGACGCATGACCCTGCGTTTCCGGTCTGATGCATTCGTGTGCATATGAATGGAAGTCTATGATGAAAAGCCCAGTGTGAGCGCAGCTTTAGGCTGTAATAACTCTCCCCAACCTCTTTTGCCCTTCTTCCTGGATAAAACCCCTACTTTACTACATCCAATCAGCTTGCATTAGGAAAAAAACAAGCCACGCCCACTGCTTCTCTCTAGGAACTCTCTTCTCTCTTCTCTCTTTTCTCTAGGAACTGTCACTATACAACTAAAAAAATGGTCACAGCTTCCGGTTCATGTGGACTTCATAATGTACAGTGAGGTTAAAACAGCTAATGGGTGTCGTTAGGCATGAACCAGAGCTGTTGGAAAACACTGTAAGTCACATCTTCACGTGGATTATTGCTTTTATACAATGGTTGCTGCACTTTTGTAGCAAGGTGTCATCAAGTAAAACAGTTTCTTTGGCTTAGTGTTGATGGCGTGGTGGCTGACAAGCATGGGTCCGTTCTTCGTACCTCGCTTTAATGATCTAAGATGATTTGGCAGATCCTGGATCTTTTAATCTTGATAACTGGTCTCTGGCTAATTTGGTTCTTCAAATAAGTTTATGAATCAGATTAGAATGTCTGGATGAACTGATCTGAGATCGCTGCGTGTGTTGTGAAGGACAGATCTATCCATCCTCCAAATCATGATCAGCAATGCAGCGATTGGCTGACGGCACAGCAGCGTAATGACATCATCTGATTAATATTCAATTATACATGTGAGCAAAATTACATCAAATTAGCAGTAAACGGCTTGTTAAATATGATACGCAATAACCTTCCACATTTGTTGTGAGCTGCAGGCTTTACACTTGTGTCAAGAGTATTCATCATGTATTTCAGTGCATATCAGTGTATTTAGTTCTACATTTAGAAAAGATTTTCTATATTACAGTAGCCGTTTTTTTAATCGCTGTATGGAATAACTGGATGTTTTCAAAAGCATTTTGATATTGGTAAAGGCGTCTGCAACTTTTGTTAAGCATAATCACCGGCATATTAACTGTCAAAACATGTTCATGACTGCATTAATGTATAATTTATTTTTTTAAAAGTCACACATTGTGCATTTCTATTATACATAAATTGTACTAAAGTGATCCAAAAAGTTCATGTTTTCTCTTTGCACCAGCAGGTGGCAGTCTTTGTACTTTCATTTCGAGAGTGCAGATTGCATAAGTTTTATTAATATGTATAACTTTATTTTTTTATTAATGACTATAACTTTATATATATATATATATATATATATATATATATATATATTTAAAATAGTTACTATTTTCCCAAGTGTATATAACTACTACTGTAAGAAAATATCAGAATTTGGTACATACTTTCTCTATTATCTTTGCTTGAACTGAGCCGATCTAATCCTGTTTATATGAATTGAACCTGCTCCCGATCAGGCTTAAGCTAGCAGAACTGTTGCCATGACAACAACTCTCGGATCAGCTTTGAAGAACGAAACAATCCTGGATCATGTCAAATCGTCAATATCCAAATCCAGCTAACTGAGTAATCCACGTACGAAGAACGGTCCCCTGGTTACAGAGTTTGTGGAATATATTTCAACATGCTTTAAATTCAGCTCAAGCTATCAAATTTGACCCGGTCTACTTTCTGACTGCATACATAATGAGAATACATCACTACACTCACTAATGAGCTATGTTAGACACCACAGAGCTGGGGTCCGTTCTTCGTACCTCGCTTAAATGATCTAAGATGATTTGGCAGATCCCGGATCTTTTAATCTTGATAACTGATCTCTCGCTAATTTGGTTCTTCAAACGAGTTCGCGAATCAGATTAAAATGTCTGGATGAACTGATCTGAGATCGCTGCGTGTGTTATGAAGGACAGATCTATCGATCCTCGAAATCATGATCAGCAATGCAGTGATTGGCTGACGGCACAGCAGCGTAATGACATCATCTGATTAATATTCAATTATCCATGTGAGCAAAATGACATCAAATTAGCAGCAAACGGCTTGTTAAATATGATACGCAATAACCTTCCGCATTTGTTGTGAGCTGCAGGCAATATGAAAACACTTTTGTAAACAACTACTTATTCTTTACACCGATTAAAAAACGGCTACTATAATAAAGAAAATATTTTCTAAATGTAGAACTAAATACACTGATTTGCATTGAAATACATGATGAATACTCTTGACACATGAACGTGGAAAGCTAAAGGCGTCTGCAACTTTTGTGAAGCATCAAATCACTGCATAATAACTATCAAAACATGTTTATGACTGCATAAATGTATTATTGCTTTAAAAAAAGTCACATATTCTGCATTTCTATTACACACAATTTGTACTAAAGCGATCTAAAAAGTTCATATCATAAAGTTTTCTCTGTGCTCCAGCAGGTGGCAGTCTTTGTACTTTCATTTCGAGGGTGCAGATTGCATAAGTTTTATTAATATGTATAACTTACATATTAATAAAATAACTCTATCAACTATAACTTTATATAAATAGTTTAAAAAAATGTACCATTTTCCCAAGTGTATATAACTACTACTGTAAGAAAATATCAGAATTCGGTACATACTTTCTGTATTATCTTTGCTTGAACTGAGCCGATCTAATCCTGTTTATATGAATTGAACCTGCTCCCGATCAGGTTTGACCTAGCAGAACTGTTGCTATGACAACAACTCTCGGATCAGCTTTGAAGAACGAAACGATCCTGGATCATGTCAAATCGTCAATATCCAAATCCAGCTAACTGAGTAATCCATGTACGAAGAACAGACCCCTGCTGTCTGCTGTTCTAAATCCACTGTAAATCACAGCGTCCTGCTTTTATAAAGGGGTTTCTCCATCTATATAGCAAGGTTTCATTAAATAACATAAACAAACAGGGGCGACACGGTGGCTGCATTCTCTCCTGACAGCAAGAAGGTCTGTGGTTCGAGTCTCGGCTGGGTTCTGTGTGGAGCTTGCATGTTTCCCCACTTGTTTCTTTCAGCTTAGTCCCTTTATTCATCAGGGATAACCACAGTGGAATGAACCGCTGCCAACTATTCCAGCATATGTTTTCCACAGCGGATGCCCTTCCAGCTGCAACCCAGTACTAGGAAAAACCCATACACACACGCACTCATACACTATGGCCAGTGTAGTTGATCAGTTCCCCTATAGCGCATGTGTTTGAACTGTGGGAAACCGGAGCACCCGGAGGAAACTCACACCAACACGGGGAGAACATGCAAACTCCACACAGAAACACCAACTGACCCAGCCGAGACTCAAACCAGAGACCTTCTTGCTGTGAGGCAATTGTGCAACCCACTGCGTCACCATGTCACCCCTAAACCTCGGTTTATAGTGAATTGTTCTTCAATACTGATGAGCTGATGCTTCGCTTGACTCAATTAAACAGAAATCAAGATCAATAATTGACTACAAATTTATTTACAAGCACAAATAAATATTACACAAGCAGAGAGGGGGTTTATCAGCTGGTTAATGAACTCAGGTGATAACAGCTGATGTACTGGGCAGTAAAACACACACACACACACACACACACACACACACACACACACACACACACACACACACACACACACACACACACACACACACACACACACACATACACACACACACACACATCCACACACTCACATACATGCACAGAGATGCGGAAAACTGCTCATTCATCCACACACACACACACACTCAGAGGTGTGAACTTGTAATTTTTTCCATCTCATAGCTAAGTGTGTTGGGGCAGAGAAACTTTCCCCAGTGGCGAGTGTGTTTTTCTGCTTTTTTAGCAAATAACAAAAAATCAGCATTGTTGGGTTGGGTCTTCATTATTCTTTTACATCAGACTCTACTTTGACACTTTATTGTGGATTTATACAACCACCGGCCACTATATTAGGTACACCTTTCTAGTACCGGGTTGGACCACGTTTGCCTTCAGAACTGCTTAATCCTTTGGGGGCGTAGATTCAACAAAGAAAATTGAGATAGCATCACGCAGTTGCTGCAGATTTGTCGGCTGCACATCCATGATGTTGATCTCCCGTTTCACAACATCCCAAAGCTGCTCTATTGGATTGAGATCT